CCCTCTTTTTGTTTATTTTCTTAGCTTGGTTTTCAGACTGAACCTTAGTATTAGGTAAAGGGTGGATTTGACCTCTTCACAAGGTCTGGCAAGCTTTTTTTGCACGCCTAATTGGTTTGCAAACAGATAATCTCCATGAGATCACAAATGGGGAGGAGGGCAGTGGCCTTTCCCCCCTCCCCAGGCTGTCATTTTTGTGAAATTCTTCTCCCTGTGTTGCTTCAGCAGATGGCAGCAGCTTGCAACCTTGGTAGTGCAGAATTCTGACTGCAGCAAAGTCACACCTGGTTAATATTTGCATGGAATTCTGTCCTGTTCCCTGGAAAATACAGAACGGATGGCTAGAAAGGGCCGCTTACATAACATCGTCCCCCAACATCAATTTATTCACGGGATCTCGGAATCCTAGTGGACAATCACTTAAATATGAGCCAGCAGTGTGCTGCAGCTGCCAAAAAAGCCAACTCAGTGCTGGGCTGCATTAACAGAGGGATAGAATCAAGATCACGTGAAGTATTAATACCACTTTACAATGCCTTGGTAAGGCCACACTTGGAATACTGCATCCAGTTTTGGTCACCACCATGTAAAAAAGATGCTGAGACTCTAGAAAGAGTACAGAGAAGAGCAACAAAGATGATTAGGGGACTAAAGGCTAAAACATATGAGGAACAGTTGCTGGAATTGGGTATGTCTAGTTTAACAAAGAGAAGGACGAGGGGGGACATGATAGCAGTGTTCCAATATCTCAGGGGCTGCCACAAAGAAGAGGGAGTCAAGCTATTCTCCAAAGCGTCTGAGGGCAGGACAAGAAGCAACGGGTGGAAACTAATCAAGGAGAGAAGCAACCTAGAACTAAGGAGAAACTTTCTGACAGTTAGAACAATTAACCAGTGGAACAACCTGCCTCCAGAAGTGGTGAATGCTCCAACTTTATTATTATCATTATTAATTCAGGTTCTTGTAGAGAACATAAGCATGCCATAAACCTTCACGTTCATTTGAACTGCTTGGACTTCTGATTTTCCCACGCTTGACAGTTAGAACAATTAACCAGTGGAACAACCTGCCTCCAGAAGCGGTGAATGCTCCAACACTGGAAGTTTTTAAGAAGAGACTGGACAGCCATTTGTCTGAAATGGTATAGGGTTTCCTGTCTGAGCAGGGGGTTGGACTCGATGACCTCCAAAGTCCCTTCCAACTTTATTATTATTATTATTATTATTATTATTATTATTATTATTATTATTATTATTATTATTATTATTATTATTATTATTATTATTCTTATTCTTATTATTATTATTATTATTATTATTATTATTATTATTATTATTATTATTAAAAACATGAATTGCCGGATTGGAAAGTGATCAATGAGGAAATGCCTCAGGTTGAACACTGAAAATGCAACAGCCTTGGATGCAGCCTTTAGGACCGCAGTTCCCTATTTGTGTTATTCATTTTTCTATATTTACATTTATTTTTGTAAGTTTGATATCTCAGGTGAACGATAGTGGGTTTGAATGATAAACAAGACAATAGGAAACCATCAAGATGATTTAAAAAAAAACACAACTGTAATAACAAATTGGCCCTTCTCCACCAATATGTATGCTAATAAAACTTAGCTAAGGAATTAAAATTGTCTCTATCTTCTAAAAACCATGAAGGATGGGAAGGATGAGAATCTTTTGATGGTTAAGAAGTATCCATCATTTGTTTGGGAGGGTGAAGCTGCAGATCACAAAGTGGAGAATGGCTACATTTTAGTTTGTATTACAGGCAGTCCTCAACTTACGACCGGCTGCTTAGACATTTACTTCCAACTTTTTAAAAAAAGGCCCAAAGCAAAGAATTGGTTCACTTTATGACTGCTGTCTTCGCTTAATGACCACCACAAAAAAGGTCATAAAGTCTTTTTTTTTTTACAGTTGTAAAAAATCTGCTTTACAACCGTCATGACTTATGGCCATGATGGGCAAACTCCATTATTGTCATAAACTGAGGATTAACTGTATGTGGTCTTTGTTTTTTAACTATGCTATTCATTTGTATCCTGCCTTTATTTTTTACGAACAACTCAAGGTAACAAACATATCCAACACAGCTCCCCTCCTCCTGTTTTCCCCATAAGAACATCCCTGTAAGATGGGTTGAACTGAGAGATAAGCTGTTTCAATGCTTGCAGTATCATTTTCATGGGTTTCCCACTTTAAAATATCAGTAAACTAGGTCAGTGATGGTGAACCTTTTAGAGACCGAGTGTCCAAACTGCAACCTAAAACCACTTATGCATCGTCGGGTGCCGGGTGGGTGTGGCCCATTGGCTGGGTGTGACCCATTGGCTGGGCGTGTCTATTGGGTGGGCATGGCTGCGGTGGTAACGGCAGACTGGGTGGGACTAAAAATTCCAACTTTGCAAGATTTTTTTTTCCCGCGAGAAGTTGAAATTGACTGATTGAACCTTTTTTTTTTTTGCACACGGTGGCGGAGGCCTAAAGCGAAAAGGTTTTATAAAACCCATCTGAAGGCCTAGGACTGGGGCGTCGGCACGCATGCCCACAGAAAGGGCTCTGAGTGCCGCCTCGCACCCGTGCCATAGGTTCGCCACCACTGAACTAGGTGATTCGCTTTCAACAATCATAGCTAGTGGTTGTTCCAAGTACTGCTGTCATGACACCCTGAGGCCACAGATTGCCTAGCCCAGGGGTCGGGAACCTTGGCTCTTTTATGACTTGTTGACTTCAATACCCAGAATTCCTGAACCAGCCAAGCTGACTCAGGAATTCTGGGAGTTGAAATCCACAAGTCATAAAAGAGCCAAGGTTCCCTACCCCTGGCCTAGCCTTTCTTATATTAAAGCAGATGAGTAGACCATTAGATCTGGCCTTCCCTCTTCCAGATCGGGTCTATGACAACTCGCCACGGCCTACTCACCATGACCAACTCGCCACAGCCAACTTGCCACGGCCAATTTGCCATGATCAATTTACTGCTGGACAACTCACTGCAGGACAACTCACTGAGGGACAAAAGTTATACTAATATCAAATAAATGGTGGAACAGAATCATTAAAGAAAGGATGAGAGTTGGCCATAGCGACTTGGTTGCAGCAAGTTGTCCCGTTCCATCCAGAACTTAGTGCTTTGCTTTTCCTTTCTCAGCCCTTCTGCCCACCATCCAAGAGTTTTACCGTCTAAGTGATCTTTCACATATTGGAGATGTGTTACCTACAAACTCCCCAAATCCCTACTTAGCATAGCCAGTTTTTGCACTAGGTAAGGACCAGGAGTTGGTTCAACAGATCTAACAGGTATCAGATGAAAGAATAATTTAGGTTAATTATGACTACACAGATGGAAGTCTATGGAGATTCTCAACCATCCAGGTCATAGTTGTCCCAAAGATGCTTTTTCATGAGGCAACTGGACTTTCTTGTTTACACTGATGGAAACAACCCTTCATAATGTTTTTTGGGGGGCAAGAATTTAGATATCTGGAGAGAGGATCAAAAAGACAACATAGTGACTGTTACTTCATATTTCAGCCCACCATCTTGGCTTTTTTTAAAATTATCTTCTCCAGATGCACCTGAACCTGAACAGAAAGTGTCTTCCATTAGCATTGCTTTTGGCATGCTATTTTCCTCATCCCCATCCTCTGATTAAAATTGATATAGGTGGCTTCATCCATTTCTCTGCAGGTACATATTTGCGCATTCTTTCTAGTTAATTCAGAAGACCTTAGTGCTTCTTCCCCTCACGTAGTAAACATCAGCTTGGCTTAGGACAAAAGTCCTAGTGCCCACCTCACCACAGAAATTTTAATTACATACCCTCTTGGGATCAAAGGGCTGTTCCAGAACATTTAACTGGGTAAAAGGTTCCAACTCTGACAAGTCTAGGGAATCAGTGACCAATAGCTCTGAGTCACCCAGTGGTGAGTCAAAGCGGGTCCAAAGAGCAGAGAGGAACCAAACATTTGGAGCCACCATTTCCTATTCCCCCCTCCCTGCTTATTTAATGGATAACTCAAGAGCTACAAGGAAGAGGATTCTGAAGAGCAAAGGCTTCTCTGCTCCAATGATAGCTCTGCAGTTTAATAGAAATTGGTGCGATGCAATTGATGGCAATCCAAAAAAGGTCACACTTTACATTAGCAAGATACTAGACCAGGGGGTCTTCAAACCTGGCCCTTTTATGACTTGTGGACTTCAACTCCCAGAATTCCTCAGCCAGCGTGCCTGGCTGAGGAATTCTGGGAGTTGAAGTCCACAAGTCGTAAAAGGCCCAAGTTTGAAGACCCCCTGTGCTAGATAAAAGTTAAGAAAAGCCAAGAGGCTATCCAGGGAAGGGGCCATCAGGTTGCCCACAAAAGCAAGAATTCCTATGTGTGCACTTGACCTCACTAGGCTGCCAAGCAAAATCACACAATGTACTCACAATGTGTACACACAATGTTGGGGTTCTTGTCAGGAACAGTGGAAGACCTCCCAAGGTCATAAAGCCTCATTTGGCCTTTGAAAGGCACCCTGTGGTTGGGCTGGGATTACCCAAGAAGAAGTATGATTAAAATTGAAACTGAATGAAATAAATACATATAATTGAATTATTCCTCTTTATGTTCTCTGACAAAATGTAATTGGGCAGCAATTTTTGGAAGGGTTCTTACAGGTTTGACTGGCTGCATGTGGCCCTGCCAATTGAATGATTACGGTATGTGCCATCAAATAGGTTTTAACAGTTTGTCTGGTTTTATGACCAGGGGTCTTATGTGTGTCTTAAATGTGGCTGTGAACTAGCTTGTTTAATGTATACTTCAGTTTAGAAATGGTTATGTAGTAGATATACAGCGCTTGAAATAAGCAAATAAAATCTGATTAGACACAGTGAAGTAAGACATCTGAGATCAGAGGGATACCTTTAATGAGAAATAAAGCTGGACCAGTAAAGTAAAAAAAATGTTTTTGAATGGAGGCTTATGTAAGCTAATAAAGAACTGTTTATTCCTTTAAAATTCAATTTCATCAGATAAATAAAACAAACCACTGCTTCCTCCCCTTACTGATAAATACAGATAACTTTGTAGAGCTTTTAATTCTGCTGTTTTATGATGTTCAATACTAAGAATAGCAGGAACTGTTCAAACTGAGGAAAAATTATTACATCCATTCTCGATTTTCCAGGTAGTTCATATATCTTCGAGAGAGGGTTCATGTTTTTTCTATATAAATTGTCATCCGCATTAAACTATTAGTTCTAAACCTAATTATATCCCTGTAACCTAATTATTTAAAGAGAGAAACCATCACCACATCTAGGAGAAAGCAGACTGTTGTTTTTCTCTTCCTTCTCAGTATGGAAGTACATGCAACCACAAGACCATCAATCTGAAAAGAGTTTAATCAGAAACAACTTAAGCTCTTTTGCTCATCCCTGGCCTAGGCTGTGCTTGAAAATGTTCTCTTAGATCTATCCACGTCTGAGAATTAACATAGTCGTATTCCTTCCCTGTCATGCGTCTTTTGGCTTAGTTTGGGAAGTGCCTGGTGCTGCTGGGACAGGCTTCATGGTATACCTGGTGCTAATGGTACGGCCTGAAACACAGCGGTATTCAGCATTCTCCTTTTTTTCTTTGCCATTCTGACTGATGGTGAGCTCTACCGGCACTGAGGTGGTGGTCTCCTTCTTGATCACCTGTATGGAAAGTTCAGTGCATGGAGGGATTTTGGCAGGCAGGAGGACCTCTACCTTCTCAGCAGTGGTGGTGGACTCACTTTTCCCTTTCTCCACTATAAATATATTGGAACAATCCAAGGTCACCTGGAAAGCAAAGCCGACTCTTAGGCAAGTGGTGTTGCTGAAATGGAAGCTCTGGAATACCGTGGCAGTATATTCTCGAGTGGAGTTGGTGGTGAACGCTTGTTCGTATTCGGTGCAGTTGGTTCCCACAATCTCATCAATCAGAACATCCTGCTCAGCTTCCACTTTCTTTTGATCCCACAGCAGCTTGGCGTTAATGATTGGGCGGCCCGGTTTCAGGGGCTGCAAATGAGATACGCTATCATCAAAGTTGATCTCGGTTTTATAGTCATGAATGCGTTCCCCTGGCCAGGCAATGTGATACCATCCACCACGGTTTGGATTTTTGTAGAGCAGCCAGACGCCCCTCTGCACCACGTGGGAGGAGACACGGTCGTTAAAGTAACCGTAAGTGAGGTTGGTCTCCTCCTTCACCACCTTGCTTTGACCTTCATAGTTAGGATGTTCATACAGTGTAATTTGGGGGTCAGAGAGATCTTGGTGAACTAGCCGGAAGGATGAAATCCTGTTGTTGTTGTCAATCTCAGTATAATCCCCTTCCTCAAAAACAACGCCGTCCTCTTCAAACTTAGAGAGCTTGTAGGCCACCCAGGGCTGCCCTCTCACCTTCAAGGAGGAGATACAATCCCCAAAATCTAATTCATGCAGGTCAGGGACATCACAGGTGAATTCTTTGCTGAGGCCCTCAAAATTGGGCTTGTCGTACACGACAATTCTATTCATGCTGAGCTCTTGGGAAAACATAGAGGCTTCTTCCTAGTGCTCTTTCCAAGGCCAGAGGAATCCAAAGTTTGCTTTATCCCAGTCTGTTTGCTAGAAAGAATTCAGAAAGTTAATTCCTCGGTTCTGCTGTAAACAATCTACATAAAGCAAAATATTTGGTATGTGTCTGTGTGGATAATCACCTCTCTCTCTTTTTCACATCGTCCAAATTTCTATTTTTGTGGAACCTGTGGCTTAAGGATGGGGAGACATTTTCTGGGTAAAGGAAACATTTTCTCAAGGGAAAATCTGTTGGGGGGGGCTTGCATTTAACAGATGGGACCAAAGTGAAAAGCGGAGAGGATGACCCCCTACCCCATTTCTTAGTTTTCTTCTCTTCCTGCCATGTGGGCTGAAAAAACAGTGGCAGACCACTCATTCCTAATACTCTGATCTGAATGTTAACCGAGGGTTTCGAAATTAGGTCAAGGGTCATTCAAATTAGGTCCAGGGCTGCAAGCAGTCTGGAGTCCAAAGCTTATTCACTCCTGGCTTAATGCCTCAGTACTCATCCTTAACTGCAAGAATGAAGCCCAATTGTGTTTGCTGGTATCCACCCTTTATTGTGTTTATTTTTATCCTTCCCTTCATTGTTTTTCTCTTTGCCGCTAAGTAGACAGGGTTAGGAGTTTCAAGGTGCAGGAACAGCTAAACCACATTGCATTGTATATAGAGTTATGGAAAGCCACTGCCTCCCTGGTGCTAATAACCCCCGTGATCTTGAAATTAATTCAAAGAGAGAGGCAACTGCTTTTGTGTTTGCTTTAATGTGGCATGCAGTTTAACCTCTTGAGACGGAAATAATCTTTACGATCCACAGCAGTTTCCCAGAAAAGTCTGCAAACAGTTAAGAAATTGTGGACTTTCAGAAAGTACAAATGTTTATACAAAGTCCTTGACTTATGACACGTATTGGAGCTTGCCCTTATGGTTATATGTTGTGATGCAGATCTCCCATATTACGACCTTACATGGGTATATACATCATTAAGTGAATGCTGCAGTCATTAAGCAAACCCATTGTTCTCTATATGGGGCAAAATTGGAAGTAAATGCTGATTTTCAACAAAAACATTGTAATCGCGGTCATGTGATCGCAGGATGCTACAAATGACCATAATTGCGGGCTGTTGGCTGAGTCTCTGTAACGTAATCAAGTGATTTGTGGGGGGGGGGGGGGAAGGGAGTCTGGCCATTGGAAGATTGGAACCGGATTGTAAGTATCTTTTGGGGGTTCGTGGTAACTTCAAATGGTTGTAAACTGATCAGTTGTAGTTCGAGGACTACCTGTATTGAAAGAGAATGCTGAAAAGCCACGGATCCCCTCGGCAGATATTGTACGGGCTGTACCTGTCCCAACATGTATTTCTTTGACCTGAACTGCCACGTTCATTCCCCTTTGGGGGCTGTTTATACATAAATGAGAGACAGGAGTGATGGGGGATAGCCAGGTACTATTCCTGGCAGGTTTCTTGAGATATCAGGTTAAATCATGTTGGGAGAGGCTGTCTCTGTCCTCTCTCCCTCCCCTTTAGCCCACAAGGTTCCTTCGGAGTAGCAGTCCTCCTCTAATTTCATAAGACGGTGAAGGTGATTTAATCTGCTTGACAGATGTAAACCCGTTTGCCCTGTGTTGCAACGCTTGGAGGCCTGAAACACAGAGTTCTGCTGTAGTGTCATATACTTGTAAACAGTGTGCCCTTGGGCTCCTAGAGACGGGCCTACTCCTTCCCCACCATCCAAGCTTCCAGTGCCTCACATCTGCTGAAGCTAAAACACTACAGTATCACCAGGAGCAGCTAAACTTTCTAATTGCCTGTACTGGTTACTCTTAATTCCTTGGTAAGCTCTGAACAAGAGGAGGTTGTAGCCATTTTAGGTAATGAGAAATAGGATGAATTACAGTCAGTCTCTCCCATCCTCTCCCCCCCCTCTATTACACTCAGGCACACATTTGCAGCCCACCATGGCACGATTGTAGATTGTAGCAAATGGTGAGAGTGAACATGAGGATATTTCAGGGAAGGGATAGAATATTGTTAACAACATGTCTGCTAGACTTGGAAGAAAATGCTTAAATGCTATTGAAGCTATTTAACGACAAGGGAGATTGTGCTCAGATAGAGCAAGTCATCTAAAATCACCTGGGAGTTTCTAGTCCAAAAGTGGATTTGAACCCGTGTTTCCTTCTTTCAACATTGCAACCACTCGCTACTCTAGTGGTATAATTATCATACTACATTGACTCTCAGATCAAATGAGTTGATTTCAGAATTCATCCGTATGGCCATAGAAAATACAGACAAAGCAGATCCACATAAAATTCAGTAGGAGGGTAGTCATGAAATTGGCTTGCACTTCAAAGCATGTTTATTGCACTCGTAGTCTTTGCTTTTGGCAACTTCTAATTGGCTCTGATATGATAGACTGGAATCTGAACAAGTTCATGAACAATTATATAACCGTTTCTCTGCATGAACAACAGGTTCCTCACTCAACCTGAGTTTCCAGCATGCCAATTGGGTTATCCAAATTGGCTGGCTGTCTTGGTACTACCCACTTTGACTGGAAATGCAACAAAAGCATGATGATGACTGAAGCTAATAGTATTAAACTGATCATCGAATAATAATCTTAATTATCACAAGATTAATGCGCAGAACCCGTCATTCAGCTATTGATCTCAAAAGCCATCCTTACTCTAATAACTGCAATTTAATTGACTTCAATAAAGCCAGGCTGCTGACTCAATCATGCTAGAGGGATGACATGATGCTTGTTCTGGAAAGTCATGCTTACAGTTCTGGAGTGATAAAATCCAGAAAAGCATTAGATGGGAGCAAAGATACACAGAAAACTCTAATACTTTGCAGCCATATAGTGGTTATCTGGATTTTAGCAGCTTAGGTTTAGTAATTCTATATGCAGGGCACAGTTTAAAGCGGGGGTGTCCAACCTTGGCAAAGGTGTTTTTTTTCTTCTTCAAAAGTCAACTGGACTGTATAACTACCTATCCTTCCATCCCCCAGCATCACAACTACAGGTAGCCCTCGACTTACAACAGTTTGCTTAGTGACCGGTTCAAAGTTATAATGGCACTGAAAAAAAATGACTTATGACCATTTTTCACACATATGACCGTTGCAGCATCCCCATGGTCACGTGATTTCCATTCAGATGTTTGACAACTGACTCATATTTATGACATTTGCAGTGACTTGGAGTCACATGATCCCCTTTTGCGACCTCCTGTCCAGCAAAGTCAATGGGGAAGCCAGATTCACTTAACAACCATGTTACTAATTTAACAACTGCAATGGTTCACTTAACAACCGTGGCAAGAAAAGTCGTAAAATGGGGCAAAACTCAACAAATTTCTCACTTAGAAATTTTAGGCTCAGTTGTGGTCATAAGTTGAGGACTACCTGTAATCAAGCTTCTTGGATGAGAAGCGAAACATTTTTGTCTCCCTCAAGGAAAAAACAGTCCAGGGGCCTTTTGAAGAAAAAAAAGGTACCTTTGAAACAACTATGACCTGGATGACTGAGAATCTTCACAGACATCCAACCTTGGCAACTTTAAGACTTGTGGGCTTCAACTCCTGGTATTCCCCAGCCAAATCAAACTGATAAAAATAAATATTCCATCTGTCCTCTGATTTGTGCCCATATTCAACAACTTCAAATCACCCCATAGAACAGTGGTTCTCAACCTTTTTAATGCCGCGACCCCAACCGGTCGTAAGTCGAGGACTAAACCGGTCGTAAGTCGAGGACTACCCAACCGGTCGTAAGTCGAGGACTTTCCCTGCCCGGGAGCATCGTGCATGCGTGGTTCCGCCCCCTGCACCGGCTGAGGCGTAGCTGGCAAGTGGCAGAGACGGAGCAGGCTGACCACCAGCTGGCCCAGCCCAAGGAAGGTAAGGCACCCGCCGGAAAAGGGGGAAAAAAATGGCGGACAAAAAAAATGGCGGACAGCCTTGCTTGGCGACCCCCATGAAATGGTCGATCGACCCCAAATGGGGTCCCGACCCACAGGTTGAGAACCACTGCCATAGAATCAAAGGATCCTAAGAGGTTATTTAGATCACTAACTTCAAATCTTTACTCAGAATTAAAGCATCTCTGACTAGACATACCATTTCTGTCTGGGAACTATTGTTACACTGGGAAGTTCTTTTTAATGTCTAAGTGGAATATCTGTTCCTTTAACTTAAATCCCAGTATTTTTGCACTCTGAGTGGTAGAGAGCATCTCTTCTTCCTCTCTATGATATCTGTTCAAGCATTTGAACTGTGCTATCAGCCTTCTCAAGGTTAAACATCACCAGATATTTCTCCAGCTCCATGACAGTATTTAAAATATTGTTTATGGTCCACTGGAAAATAAAATGAGTAAGTCTCAAACATATTAAGTAGTGAGGAATCTGTGATATTAAGCTGTAGATCTCGTTCGTTTTTTCTATCTGGCACCTGACTGCAGATCTCTGACATATCTGTCTGTCATATCTTGTCTATATATTCCGGATGTAAAAAGTCAACTCCCTAAACTGCCAAAATATTGAGCAATTCCAAGATTTCTTAACTACTGGCATGCTGAATTGGAATACTGAGCTGCAATCCCAATACATCTGTAGGGTACCAAATTGAAGAAGACTCATACATGCAAAGGAACACACAAATTTTTAAAATACAACAATAGGTGTGCACTGCAAACTGATGTAGGATATATTAAGATTATAACAAGCTGGAAGTTCCTAATTCAAATCCCAAATATCCTTCTCGTGGCAGAGGGTGCGTCTGAGACATGAACTTAAGTTCTCTCTCATAAAATCTGCAAAATGAAGAGAATACTATTGACTTACCTTCGAAGCATAAATCAAGATTACTATTGTAATGCATGCAAATCACAAATAGTGAACATTGTGCCTCCCAGATGCTTTGGATTTCAACCTTCATTAACTCAAACCAACATGGAAAGTGGTTGTAGTAGTAGTTCAAGACATCTTGATAAA